GGTTTAGTGTTGTCCCCAAGTGGAATTTCCTTTCCAAGAACTTCTCGAACAATGCGACTTGTTCGAGTTCTTCCGTTGTGGATTTGGTTGCGTCCCTTTCTTCTGGTACCTAGAAATACCTCGGTACCTGATAAGATTCCGACGGCCCCTCCCCTTTGTCAATTTCGTTTGGCTCAGGGGCAGGCGTGGGTTCCTGTAATTGCTATGCCGCATGTTCCTTCCCTTTACTACTGGAAATCGAGATCACGTTCATCTCCCTTGCCTCCGGTTGATCTCCTCTTATTTGTTTAATTCCCGAGTTGGGAATTCAGAAAGTTAATGGTATGTTGATGGCATAACCTTCATCTCATGTAGCCATAGTCTTCCAAGAATAATATTGTAGCCCATGTCGCCATCTACTACTTCAAATAGGGTCGTCTTCTTGACACCTTCGGAATTTGTGGGCAGCAATATCTCTCCTCGGGTTGTCACACTTGCTAAGTTGAACCCAGTGAGGAGATTTATGGCCGGAATGATTCTTCCGGTTAGCTTGGCTTGTTCCAGCACTCTCTATGGGATAATATTGGCTAAACTTCCTGGGTCCACCAAAATGCATTTAATTTTAAAATCTAAAAAATTAAAAAAAAATTACCAGGGCATCATTGTGCGGTAGTAGGAGTCCATTGGCGTCCTCCTCCATGAAGGTGATATAGTCCTCGGCGACTTCCCGGAGTCTTTTTCTATGGATCACAGATATCTTTGTCTTTTTTGATGACAAGAAGGTTATTGATCTCGTTCCCTTTGAAAATCATGTTGATTGTTAGATAAGGAGGATCTTCTCTCGGCTTGGGGGACTCCGCGTTATCTTGGTTGCAACTGTAGTTGTTTTTAGCCCCATCACTTAAGAACTCTCTAAGATGGCCATTTTTCAGCAATGTTGCCACCTCCTTGCGCAGATGTTGGCCGTCCCCAGTCCGGTGGCTTGTTAGTCCCATGATACTCACACCATAAATTAGGATCCCTTTGACTAGGACTGGATCTCATCGGCCTCGGAAACCTTGCTTCCTTAATGTTCCTCATCGCCGATACCAGTTCCCCATACTGACATTGAAATTGTACTCGGACAGTCTGGGGTAGGGTAGGTGGAGTCTCGGGACCTGATGTCTTTTTGTCCTGTAACATTTTGTTATTCCGGCCACGGTCGACTCTCCTATCGGTAGCGAACCTGTCCGCCGATCGAAAGCCTGTGCCGCGTTCTTCGGCCCTTTCGTTGGGTAAAAACCAGCCTTTAGGAGATCGTCGATTTGTGTCGAAGTCATCCTTCAGCTTTTCTTTATTCTTCTCTCGGTACCGACCTTTGGTTGATGCCGGGAAACGTGCTGGTCATACTCTATTCTTATCTTTGATTCGTAGCGGTTGTAGACATCTACCCATGTTGTTGCCTAGAACTTGAGCAAACTTTCTTTCAGTTTTCGAAAAGCACCAGAGCTCCTCGGGTTCAACCCCTTAGTAAATGCCTCAGCTGCCCATTCATCTGGAACGACCGATAGCAGCATCATTTCCTCCTGGAATCTAGTCACGAATTCTCACAGCAACTCGGGATCTCCTTGTAATTCTGAATATATCGGCCTTTTGGGCCTGTACCTTCCTGGCCCCGGCACGGGCCTTGATAAAAGAATTTGCGAGCATCTCAAAGGAATCTATTGAGTGCTCAGGTAGAAGTGAATACCATGCCAAGACTCCCTTCGTGTGGGTCTCCCCGAACTTCTTCAGCAAGACCGACTCAATCTCGTACGGAGCTAAGTCGTTTCCTTTCACAGCCGTTGTGTAGGTGGTGATATGCTCTTGAGGATCCGAAGTCTCATCATATTTTGTTCGTCTGGCATTTTGAACCGCTTCGGGATTAACTCCGGTGCCACACTCGATTTGATCGGCAACTGGGTGCATTTCTTTGAGTCCAATCTATTCAACAGTGGCGGTGCGCCCGGATTTGGTCCATTCGGGCGTTTATTTCCCTTATAAACCACATGAGTTCGGTTTTAAAGGGATTATTCTCGTTGTTGTTACCAGATCCGATGTGTTGTTATCAATACTTTGTGCTGTTTGGTTTGCGAGAGCACCGGGAGGAACTGGACCTCTTTCATTTGCGTTGTTGGAGGCACCCGATAGCGCTTGCCTCAACTCTATCATGGCTTGATCTTGTCGGGAAAGATGGACCATAATAGCCTTTTGTTGTTCCCTCAAGATTCTCACCGTTTCCGCAACGTGCTCGTCTTCAGCATCATCAAGAGTTGCCTCCCGAACGTGTCGTGAATATTGACTGCCATGGACCAGCGTGGCTACATCCTCATTGTTGCTGATATCACTGGTCAAATCTTCATGCTGAGGCTAATTTCCTTGGGCCTCAATGTTATGTGTGATGTTGACATCGTTATCTGTCATTTTTTACGATTTTTCGCTAAATAAAAAAGAATTAAACAGATTAGTAATAGATGCAAGAATCAACTCAATTACACAACTATCTAAGCCCCACGATGGGCGCCAAACTGTTTACCCGTAAAACGGTACAGTTGAATTTGTAGCGTGGTTTATATAAAAGCGAATCGATTTGATCCCAAAATGATAAATAAATTACATAAAATGCAAGACTTAGCATTTGAAATCAAGATAAGATAACAAATAGCTTGGTTCCGGGAGTAGAGCTTTCGAAGGTAGTAATAAGAATATCAATAGACAGGAAATAAAGTATTATTGACCTTTTGAATAGTATGTAACATAAGTTTGTCAGAGAATTCGTGTCCTTTTCAACGGATGTTGAAATCACTATTTATAGTTGCACCTTGGGAACAAGGTCCTAGGATCAAACCCCTCTTAAATTACTATTATGGGGCCATTAATGATTGTGTAACGGCAGGCCATAAATGCCAAAATTATCTATAACGGATTGTGTATTTAATATTAAAGAATATTCTTCATTGAATATCATCGGGTGACAAACGTTCGTTTGTGTCATTAGCAATATTCCCTTCGTGGTCTTCCCGGTGCCAACCGAAGCTGCTGTTCTCGGTCTTGGTTTCTTCTTGCCTCGCTTTTCGTCTGCCTCCAGTTCCACGTGTCACTTTATTATTCGATTATTTATTACGAACCAATTTTACCCTATACAATGAGGATTACATATCTTAAATTTTAAATTAGTAATCACAAGATTATAAATAGAAGAATATAAGTTTTTATACCATATTACTTATTCTACTACAACAATAAAAATATCCTAATACCGAGCAAGAGACATTCGAATCTTGCTCGAGTGTGTAGACGTCAGTATGACTTTATAACATGTGTTCCATCTAGCTTAGGAAATGAATTTAAACTGCTAAAATCTATGACAAAATTAACTGAGAAAATTATATCACATTCCACTATCTGTACAAATTCATTATCGTATGCACTGTACATCAAATTTACGTACAAGCGTTTTTATAGCTTACAAATTTGTCTTAGAAAAGAAACTATATTCAAATTTGAATAATTATTTTATTCATTTTATTATTGATTTATTTATGATAGTAATAATAATATGTATTCTATAACAACATAAACTAATTATTTTTTTGAAACATTAAATGACATAAATTTTTTATTTGCTAAGTTGTGCTATTTTTACCAAATTAAGAAATTCAGCTTCATTCGCAACAAAATCTTTTACGTCGACTTTCAAAAGCTTTTCATCATCGTACAAGTAGTGCATAAAAAACGTTATAAAGTTCACAAATAGGTTAAAGTTTTCGAATTTCCCCCTAAAAGCTCCGAAAAATATTTATATTTTCGCATAACCGAAAATAAATACTCCTGTGATTGTTATTTCGAAATCAAAGGCGTTGTTTGGAAATATACGTAAAAACTTTTGCACATTCTTTTCAACAGTTCAAACTTCTTTGGTCACAAAACCTTTTGAATACAAAAAGAGTAACCTTTTTCAACTTTAAGAACAAATCAACTTATTTGAAAAACTGAAAAACTACTTCTATATAGCATATGTTATATATGATTTTTTTGGTTATTTAACACAAATCTTTTCTTGTTCCTCCGTGGTTTTCTTTAAAGCAAGAGTTTCTTCATTTGAGCCCTAAAGCTAACAATATGTAAAGTTTGAAGAGCCACTTCAAGGAACAACAAATGGACTTTGCTCAGCAGCTAGTTACTGGACTACAGTACCAAATCAGAGCAAGGGCATAGAACTTCAATCTGTTGCGAGCGCTTCCCACTAACAGCAATGAATATATATGCTGTAAGTACTAGATTGACACCTATCTACAATCTGATATCAACCACATCACCATCTTTTAACTTTGTGGGGCAGCGGATGAGACTGCTCTTCCCTTAACCAGAGGTCTCGAGTTCGAGCATTGAGTATGGAAAAATCCTTGGTAGGGAGCGCTTCCCACCGAATGGGGCCCTACGCGGCGCGAATCCGGATATAATCGGGCTCCAATGCGGGTACCGGATACCGGGTGGTAAACCAAAAAAAAAACAAAAAAACTTTGTATTTGGCGCTATCAGCTGGCCATTTACTGAAACCAACTTCTCTTCTACGCCAGATCTCCTAGCAGCTCAGCCGCAGTGCTAGCGGTGCTCATGCGCATTATATCTCATCAATGGGCCAGCAAAACACTATCTTTCTGACAACATATGTTATCAGAAATGATAGCTTATGTCAAACAACAGGAAGCTAAAATAGAAAAATTATTAGAGGGAAAGCAAATGAAATTCCCACACATGCCACACTTTTGGTATCGTAATCACTAATCAGTGTCAGCCTGCAAGGAATAAATACTTTTGGATAACTGCTGATGCCTTTTTGTTAGTCTCTTCCCATACATTGGATGGACATTGATCAGAAGAACAAGCTTAGTGTCCATTTACATGGTTTAGTTGCTAACTTCATTCATCATCATTGACGACATTATTACGTCTCCAGAGTATTATATAAGAGCATAACAATGATTCTATAAGAATACCAATGTAGGAAAAATCAACTCGCCGAAAAGAAGCAGAAAAATATGATAACAAGAACTTCAAAGCTGTATGATAAGTTTGACACAAAATCACACTTCTAACCAATGCATACAACACATAATTTGATTGCAAGGGCAGCCCGGTGCACTAAGCTCTCGCTATGCACAAGGTCCGGGAAGGGCCGGACTATAATGGTCTATTGTACGCAGCCTTATCCTGCATTTCTGCAAGAGGATGTTTTCACGGCTCGAACCCGTGACCTCCTAGTCACATAACAACAACTTCACCAGTTGCGCCAAGGCTCCCCTTGCAAGAAGTAACTATATTCACTCACTCTACATCAAACCCTTTCTCCTGGAGCTCCGAAATAACTTCATTCTTCATCCTCATCCACAACTTGAAGGCTTCTTGATCAAATTTCTTATCCTGCAATGCTTTCTGAAAATTATAGGAATCTTTATCGGATTCAACAACTCCCTTAGGACCAATAGTGGTACCAATCATCCCACCTTTGGCAATAAACTCCTCCATCGCCTTCTCATCACCTGGATATGGAAATTTCCGGCGTTCATACAGGTGTGCTAGTTCTTTTTCTTCCTTTGGCTTGGGCTTCAGGGTCCACCAACCAAGTGGTGAAGTCTCATTCCATAACCACGCTACGCCGAACAAAGTGTAAGTACAAAGCAACGCCTTGCCCACTTGCTTCCAGAAGTGATAGTCTTCTTTTCCTAACCCAACTCTCTTCAGATATCTCTGGGCATCGAATGATTTTGCCACCAAAGCACCTACCAAAACAGTCGCATTTATGTATAAATTACTCATTTTTTTGTCATTTGCAAAACGAAAATGCGGTTCAAACATTTCGTCGAACAACTGGCATGCCTCATACAATCAGAGTAAACTCAACATTTGTGAAACCTAAAATTACATTTCATTGGATGATATATCCTATTTTACAGAAAAATGTACAAGGTTAATACTTCTTTTAGTCTGATTTTGGAGCTTTTAGAAATGGGCTGCGGCAAAATACTAGAAGTGATAGTCGAATCATAAGAGGGGAAAAAACTTGAAAAACAAACAAAATAAGCTCAAAATAATTGGTTCTTCACCTGTTTTGACATCATGAAATCGCTTGCGAACCATCGAGGAAGGTGGAGAGGAGAAGAAGGATCACAAACTTATCTTTGCTTTTCGTTTGTCTCTGGTTTCGCTTGGGAAAAAGAAAGAAGCCTAAGCAATAATTTCACTTTGATCCAAATTATGGAAAGGCCCTTTTGTTATGAAAATGATAAAAACATACTTCTTTGCATTTCGCACCCTTGATGTATATACTATTCTTTGACTTTACACTCGATCCTTCATCTTTTTCCACTTGACCCTCTACCTATTCATTTATTTCCAAAATCAAAAAGAGTTCATTTTGGGAGGATAAAATAGGGATGATATATTACTATTTTATTCTTTGAGAAAAAAGATTGCATCTAATTAGTTGAATTACTTCACCCAACAGCACAACATTGATTATTGCCCTGTCAAAATTGCGTTCACATTGTTTTGGAAAATGCTTAATAAAGTGTAAAGCTTTGTTTGTTCACAAAGTTGTTTATAAAGGGAGCAACTCTTTTCCTAGACTATTCTAAAAATATCAATTTATTTGAAACTTAAAAACTACTATTGCAACTCATATTTTATAAAGTACAGTCAAAACCTCTCTATAACAACATCGTTTTTCCGAATATTTTTGGATGTTATAACGAAATGCTATTATAGAGAACATATATTATAACATAATATGAACATTAATTCCGAAAAAGTTTGGCTTTTATAGTAAAGTGTTGTTATATAGGGCTGCTGTCATAGAGAAGTCTGACTGTATATGAATTTGTTGTGATTTATCACAAACATTTTCTTTTTCCGTACGTATTTTTCTTTACGCAACTGAAACAAAGGAAGTTTTGTGAAATCAGATGGAATGAACTAAAAAGTGTTTAGTCTAGCCTCTCTTCTTTTCATTTTTCTTTGAACGGTATGGCGCTCGCCCTGCGTCAATAGTGATTTCATTTGAGCCTTAAAGTTAACAATATGTACATTTTGAAGAGCCACTTCAAGGCCTAACTATGAAAAAAATAGGGACTTCACACAGCAGCTAGTTGCTCTGACTACTGTGACCAAATCCGAGCAAGGACATAGAACTTCAATCTGTTGCGAGCGCTTCCCACAACTGCAACAAATATACATGCTGTACAGCCTGTACTAGATTTGAACGTAATGAAACATATCTACATTCGGATCTCAACCACATCACCATCTCTTAACTTTGTATTGGGCACTACCAGCTGGCCATTTACTGAAACCAACTTCCCCTCTACGCCTGCTCTCCTAGCAGCATCAGCTGCAGTGCTACCGGTGCTCAGGCGCATTATCTCACCATTGGGCCAGCATACAATCACCACCTCTCCTAGCAAACCAGAGCTAGCATCGTATGTTTTTGTAGCATACTCCACTTGCTGGAGACTTGCTTCAGAGCGCAGTTGCTTCTCCCATTGAAGCATTGTCCTCAGCAAATATACCTGTAGGTTTTCCAAATTGCAAGCTGAATTCATTAGCTAAATGAACCTTTAAGGGTCATATGGGGGACGTGCTTAGCTTATACACTGTACATTTATGTGCAAATACAATGAAGATTGAAGGAAATAGGAATGGATAGATCACCTGAGACTGAAAAGAGATACAAAGCCAGGATCCACAAAGTGCTTTCTTATCATGTCACTGTATCATGTTCTACAATCTATCTGTTCTTTGTTTTTTTTTTAAAAATAAGTTCATGTTCTACAATATTGTCACCTCACAAAGCACCTAAAGTTTCATTGGTCGAATCAGTCTACTACTTTAATGAATCAAACCGTCCTCTAACTTTTCCCTCTTTTTTATTTCCAAATACCCAACCACCACACCATTGTCACTGACCATGAAGCAAAACACTATCTTGTGACAACATCTGTTATCAAAGTGATAGCTTATGTCAAACCACAGGAAAGCAAATGAAATTCCCATACATGCCATACTTTTGGTGTCGTGATCACTGATCACTGCAACAACAACAACAATAACCCAGTGAGTTCCCACGAATGGGGTCTAGGGACGGTAAGATGTACGCAGACTTACCCCTACCCTGGAAAGGCAGAGAGGCTGTTTCCGATAGACCCTCGGCTATGATCACTGATCGCTGCCAGGAATAAATACTTCTGGATAACTACTGATTCCCTTTTGTTGGTCTCTTCCCATACATTGGATGGACATTGATCAGACAAAGACACGTAATGTCCATTTACATGGTTTAATGGCTAACTTCATTAATCATCACTGACGACATTACTACTTCTCCCAAGTATTAGATAAGAGCACAACAATGGTAAGACGTTCATCATACTGCTATCGTGAACTTCGGGTATGTACAAGCAGTCAGTACCTTATTGTTGATGCCAGAATCCGTTAGTGTTGAATTAGCAGAGCTATAGCCAGGCTTATTCTGAAAACTTGGGTTAGATGTAACAGAAGCAACAGGTTTCCCCTCAAAGACGGCAGACATGATAGCCCAATAAAGATTTTCTTCCTCCTCTGTCAATTCAATGATTTGGATGAACGTCGGCAACATGCGCTGGAACTGGTCTTGCTGCATCAACAAAATAATAGTTGTTACAAGATCCCAGCAGAATAAAGAGACATGTTAACTGTTCATTCGCAACTACTCCATACATCCCTTTTATGTAACACAACTTGACTGCACACAGGATTAATAAGTTGACTTGTGTATTATGCTGATCCTAGAACAAGAACATATTCAAGCAGCAGTTTGGGAAGTATCAAAGGAAACATAACATCATGATTTACCTTTGCATTCTTAAAATTAAACTTTCAAGCCATGGTATGAGACTTCATACCTTGTGGTACATACCATCTTGACAAAGTGTATACTTTTCCAGGCAAGTGCACCAATCGCCATGTCCTGGTTCGAACCACCATTCATCGGATACCTGAAAAACCATTTCGTAATCCCTAAAGTTAAAATTTGACGATTTTAGGCACTAAGAGATGACTACTTGCCTGCAAATATGCTGATAATGTCAAAAAGATGTATGTTGTAAACAGAAATTTGAGGAGACAGGAACTTACATCACCATCTTTTTTGTTTGTTTGTTTTGATAACGGTGATGTCGACATCAGCTTGCGTGCACCTCTTCTAATTCCACCGGGTACCTGCTACCTTCTACCAACACAGGTACCGGGTAACTTTGCCCACCAAGGTTTTGACAGATGGGAAGAAATCACCTAGTATTTTTTGCGCCCGATGGAACTTACATCACCATCTCATCATCATTATTGTTATTACTATTGTTGTTGTTGTTGTTGATGATCCTGTATACCTAAAAGTTATAGTCTGAATATCGATTCTCAAAGGGCTAACTAGGAACACTAAATGTTGCTATATCAGCTGCAGATTGCCTGGACTCAATTACATATTCCAATACTCCAAGGTAAATTTCTCTTTTCGGCAATATTGTCTCTCTCCTCCTTGTCTCAATTCTGATTGATTAGCTTCTTCCTCCTACTTGCTTTCAGATTTTGATCTGCTGCTCTCTCTGCATTTGCAGATAGATGTGTTTGGCCTCCCCCATTACATATTGATCTACGGGCACCATGCAACTATTTAATGCTATCATCACCAACGTAAGCGCAACTAGCTATCAGGTAAGTTAAATAGGCAATATTGGTGTCACAATTCTATTATTTATCTAGTATTCCATTTTTAAGGTCAACCAAACTATGAAAGAGGAAAAGTTTCCGGTAAAAACTTAAGCCACTTTCATGATTAGTGTGGGTGATAGCTACCTTATCAGGTTATATCAAGAGAATATCAAGGTTTCTTTTCATCCAGCAATCAAGGTCAACTAACCATCTCTAAGTACGTCAAGGTCAATGAATTGGAAAATGAGGAGAAGTCCTTGAGATTTTATTAAGAGATGTGACTTATATTTCCTTGGCACCAGAACATGAATACGCTAACAGACATGCAGTGATCAGCCAACTATTCAGCATAGAACTTGCTAGGTATAAGAACCATATTATTCTGAAATATAAGTTATAAGACTTCCACCGAGTACCTTCTTATATAAGCTTGCATAAGCTTCCCATCTTTTCGTTTGAGAAGAAGATCTTCTGTCAGCTACTGCCTCAGAAGCTGCTAGCCCAAAGCTTACAGCAACAAGCAATTCTCTTGCATCCTTGTCCACTCTGGTGAAAAAGAAAATTATGCACATACAAGTTAAATGAAAAGCTTTCGAGATACATACTATGAATTCAGTGATGATCTACCTCACAATAACTGCAGCAAGCAGGTGACCTGCTTCCACTCTGAGGACAGGATGTCCCACTTTTAACGAGCTATACTTATGTGACCCATCATCTAAAGTAGAACCTTCATCTTCAATATCTGTTGAGAAGTATGAGGGTGTAGTTTTTCCAGAACCAGTTACACTGGTCTCCAAGGGCAGCTTATCTTCAGTTTCTTTATAAAGCCAATGTGCAGCAAGTCCATGTTCAGCACACTCATGCATCCTCTGAATATTCAAGACCAGCATTTTAGAGCTACATAAAACTTAACGATAATCACCACTCTACCGACTAACAAAAGAAAATTCAAAAAAAGAAAGAAAAGGAAAGACCAAAGTATAGAGAATAACTATCTATTATCAACTGAAATGTTTGAGGAATAATACCTGGGTTCTTATTTGAATTTCCAGGGGTGAATTGTCGGGACCTTGTACTGCAGTGTGTAGGGACTGAGATCAGAAGGAGAATTTAAGGATGGATAGATGTCAGAACAGTGGTTATGCCGCAAAGATGGCAAATCTAACTTTCAAAAGCAGTAACCCGCTGAAGTAAAAAGGAAGTTCAAACCTGGTAGCCACTTGGTTTTGGATTAACAATGTAGTCATCAAACTCTCCATCAATAGGGGACCATAGCCTAAACATTTGAAAAGCAGAATACGTCAAGTTTGAACCTCTATAGGCACATTATTGACATGCATATTCAATCTATCTTAAGAAAGTTTATATGATATCCGATAATTAAATTAAAACAAGCAGATGATAAATACGCTCTTAATAAGTGTGCAGATTCTTCGAAGGGAACAAACCATTTTCCTACTTTTTGTGCCATTGCTGTTCGGAGGTCTAATCCAATTATATGTATAAAGGTGATATTAAACAAAACAAAATCAAATCAATTTATACACCTGTGCACAATATTGAGAAGATTATAGCAACATTGAACTGCCTGGCTGTGTAATGCTCCATTCTTATCTCCGACAATAACCCTCAAGGCACGGGCATCATATACTTTGTTTATGCCAATTTCTTTCCTTTTCATCTGTGTCAAGTAAAATAAAAATATAAATAGATTGTCCTCAAAAACAATATGACAAAGAAGCAAGATATCCGAGTATGAAGCAGCAAAAGAAGAAAGATAATCAACAAAGACCTCAAAATTT